AATACTTTCAATAACTCTTCTCCACAAGGCATCTTCCTCTTGTGTAAACCTCCATAACCATTTCAAAAGCAAAGCGTTATTTCGTTGCTGAAAAGCCCCAATGCCAAGGCCTCCTTTTTCTAAAGGCAGGGAAGTGGTTTCCCAATTGACCAAATTTCTGTGGGGGTGTAATTTATCACCTAGGAAGCACAGACACTCCACTTTAGGTGGAGTGTCCGTATCAGATGCGTATCGGACACCAATACATTCAGACACGCTTCGGACAAGTGTCCGACACGCCACGTGGCATGTCTAATTTTTTTTCTTTTTAATTACGGACACGCCTCGGACACGTGGGGATACGTCTGGACACGCGGGACAGGAAATGGGACACGGCCCAACGTGCCTGGGCCCAAAAAGAAAAGAAAACTTAAAAAAAAAAAAACAAAATCCTAAATCGTTCTCTTCTTCGTTTTGTTTACTTTCCTTCTGCCTTCCACACAAAGTCAACAAAACCCTACCATCCTCTCGTAGTGGACGTAGTGGTGATAACATGAAGACATTGTGGAAGTTTGAGATGAGATGATGAAAGTTTTAGTTTTTTCTTGTATGAAAGATCGATTTTACTTCTTTTTAAATTTGAAGTGTAATGTAGGTTGGATAATGAATTTTGTAATGTTAAGTACATTTTTATTTGTTTTGTTCAATTTGTGTGGTTAATTTATGCAAAAGTATTACTATAATCAATTCATATGCATATATTATCTAAAAATAAAAAAAATAAAAATAATGTGTCCCCAACGTGTCTGTGTCCTAAGTTTTTAGAAATTGGCGTATCGCCGTGTCTGTGTCAGTGTCGTGTCCGTGTCTGGTGTCCGTGTCCGTGCTTCTTAGCAAATGGGAGCGGGTGTTTAAGCCTTTGGATTTTGGGGGTTTAGATATGGGAAACTTGAGGCTGCACAACGAAGCCATGGTCATGGCATTTTCTGCAAGAGTCGAGTTCCTTGTGGCATAGGATTATAATGAGCAAATATGGTCCTCATGCCTTTGATAGGGTGTCTGGTGAGGGTTTTGAAGGCACTTTTGTTTTTCTTTGCTTTTCTCAGTTCATGCATGTCGGGTTGGAGACGGGAATGATACTTTTTTCTAGGAAGACAGGTGGCTAAGGGACCATCCTTTCTGTTCTTTGTTCCCTCTCTTGTACCATCTTCCATCCATGAGTGGTCGGTCGATGGCTTCAGTTTTGCCTTCATTGGACTTCTCTTCTTCTTTGGTTATCGGTTTCTGTCGTCCTTGTCCAACAGGGAGGCAACAAATCTTGTGGCCTTGTTGTCCTTGAGAGATTTTGTTGTTATTCTAGGGAGGAGGGGTTCTTGTGGGTCCCCTAATCATTTAGAAGGATTCTCTTTCAAATCTTTCTTATCGTGTTGGAGTACCCTCTCACTTCTTCGTTTTTTCTTCGGGTGTTTTTTCTTTGCTTTGGAAGGTTTAGATTCCAAAAGATGTTAGATTTTTTGTCTGGCAGGTCTTACATGGCTAGGTTAATACTTTGGACCATATTATGAGGCACACCTCTTTTCAAGGAAGCAGTTGAGGATCTTGATCACCTCCTTTGGACTTGCCAGTTTGCTACGTCGGTGTGGAATTTGCATATTTCAAACTTTTGGGTTCATCTTGCTTGGGTTAGAGAGTGTCGATGTTGGAGGAAGCTATTCATTACCCTCTGTTCAGGGATAAGGGTTGGTTCTTGAAACAAGCGAGTTTCTTTACTGTACTCTCAGATTTGTGGTTTGAAAGGAACAACATGATTTTTAGAGGGATAGAGAGATTGAGGGAGGAGGCGTGGGACCTTGTCTGGTTCCATGTCTCCCTTTGGACTGCGGTGTCCATAGTTCTTTTTGTAATTACTCGCTTATTGAAGTTCCATAGTTCTTTTGGTAATTACTTGCTTGATTGAAGCTCGTTCTCTTAATTTGGCTCCTTTTGCTCCTTTCGTTGGGCTGGTTTTTTGCATGGCCCTTTGTATTCTTTCATTTCTCATGAAATCTCAGTTTTTCATCAATTCAAAAAGAAATATATATATATACACACACACATATATATCCATGAAACTGGGATAAATAATTCAAAGAAAATGGAAAGAAAGGCATTTGGAAGACTAGGTGTCCTGAAAAGGTTAGTTTTTTCACTTTGATTCTTCTATATGGGAAGGTAAACACAGTTCAAGTTCTCCAAAGGAAGTTGCCTGGATTTAATCTTATGCCTTCCTTCTGTCCTCTATGTCATTCTAACGGGGAAAGCTTGATTCATATCTTTTTCCATTGTCCTTTTGCACGGCATTGTTGGGAATTAATCTTTGAGGAATTTAATCTGTCTTAGGTAATAGGAAATATAACAGCCGATAACGTCCTTCAGCTTCTCCTCGGGCGTCCCTTGAATTCTAAAGCCAACCTTCTTTGGCTTAATGCTTTTAAGATGGTGGATTGGGGCTAGGCAGTCTATTAAAGATGAACAGCACCTTATTAGCCAAGTGGAGATGGCGTTTTGGCTGTGAAATTAATGCTATATGGCGTCAGATTTGTGGCAAGTTTATATGGGGCAATCGATCTCGGATGGTCCTTAGGGGGAAGGACCAACAGCTGTCTCAGAAGCCCATGGATCAATATTTATTGGCATTGGAAACAATTCAATTAGTTTGCAGTTTTCAAATTGGGCTCAAATTCTCGGATTCAGTTCTGGAATCATATTTCGGTAGAGGATAGGCCTTTATTGGTCAGATATCCGAAAATTTTTTGCCGATCGGTGCTGCCTTCTGGTTCAGTAGCGGATTTTTGGGATACTCAGTCTCTTTCTTGGAGAATTCTTTCTCGCAAAGCTTTAAACAATGATGAGGTCGAGGAATATGTTTCACTTCTGTCCCTTCTAAATTCTTATTCTCCCGTTAATGACCCTGACAGCAGAGTTTGGTCTTTGGCGCCCGCAGGTTGTTTTACCATGGCTTCTATTCGCAAGTCCCCTTCAGACGTATCTATGCCACCGGATTTATTTAAAGCCATTTGGAAGACTAGGTGTCCTGAAAAGGTTAGTTTTTTCACTTGGATTCTTCTATATGGGAAGGTAAACACAGTTGAAGTTCTCCAAAGGAAGTTGCCTGGATTTAATCTTATGCCTTCCTTCTGTCCTCGATGTCATTCTAATGGGGAAAGCTTGATTCATATCTTTTTCCATTGTCCTTTTGCACGGCATTGTTGGAAATTAATCTTTGAGGAATTTAATCTGTCTTAGGTAAAATGAGGCATTTGGTTAATTGGAAGATCACATCACTACCATTGGAGGATGGGGGGTTAGGAGTTGGTGGACTTTTAAAGAAAAATAAAGCTCTTTTGGCAAAATGGGGCTGGCGGTTTGGAAATGAATCTTCCTCTTTATGGAGACAAGTGGTGGAAAGTTTGTATGGTTACGAGCCATTAAATTGGTTTACTACCATCAACTCGAATATTTGCCGCCGCTGTCCTTGGAGTGGTATTTCTAGACATTGGAATTCAGTCAATTCTTTGGGACATTTTAAAGTAGACAATGTTCGAATTGTATCGAACTGTATCATTCTGGCATTCTACCTGGGTTGGTAAAGAGCCTTTGAAGTCTGCATTTCCCAGAATTTTTAAACTTTCTATCAATCCTAATGGTGTGGTATCAAGCTTTTGGGATTCAAATACTAGTTCATGGAATTTAGTGTTGCGAAGAGCTTTGAAAGAGGAAGAAGTGGAGGAATTTTCTACATTATTATCGGCTCTAAATCTGCTGTCCATTTCAGATACAATTGATATTAGATTTTGGAGTCTTGAACCATCTGGTTTGTTTACAGTTGCTTCACTAAGAAGATTTGGTTCAAATGCATCGATGCCCAAGGAATTCTTTGCTGCTTTATGGAAAACCAAGAGCCCAAGAAGGGTTAATGTGTTTTGCTGGATTCTCTCTCAAGGAAAGTTGAATACGGCTGATATTATTCAGAAGAAATCTCCTTCTGCTGCCCTACTTCCCTCTTTTTGTTGCCTCTGTACAAAGAGTGGGAGGATCAGGACCATCTACTTTTTCATTGCTACTATGCCTCTAAGTGTTGGAATCTGTTATTCCATCAATTCAATGTGGATTGGTGTTTTGATCTCAAGGCCGGGGACAATGTTTATCAGCTTTTACATGGGCCTCCTCATCTTTCCTCTTCAGTTTGGTTTTTATAATTAAATGTTGTCAAAGCCTTATTATCGGAATTGTGGTTCGAGAGGAATTCAAGATTATTTGAAGAAAAACGAAGACTTTTCGACGAAAGTTTCTATTCAGCTAAGTTTAAAGCTTCACTTTGGTGTTCTCTTGTCGACTCTTTTTTGCATCATTCTCCTTCTATGATTTATGCTAATTGGGGAGCTTTTATTAATTCTGTGTAATTATGTTATTTACATTTTTTACTTTTATTTTTTCACTCTTTCGGGAGTTTGTATCCTTGAACACTTGTATTATCTTTTCATTATTTCAATGAGAAGTTGTATCTTTGTTCTAAAAAAAATCTGTCTTAGGTATTCGGCAATATAACAGCCGATAACGTCCTTCAGCTTCTCCTCGGGCGTCCCTTGAATTCTAAAGCCAACCTTCTTTAGCTTAATGCTTTTAAGATTGTGCTTTACGAGATAGGTTTGAGAAGAACAAAAGAGTGTTTGAAGAAACGAGACAAGCATCAACAGTGCACTTCAATATAGCTAAGTTCAAGGCTTCTCAATGGTGCTACTTATCGAAATTATTCAGGAATTATTCCCCCAGCATGATTTGATCTAATTGGAGTGCTTTTATTGTATATTGTTAAGTTTTGTTATTTTGTTAAGTTTTATTTTCTTACTTCTTCTTTTTCACTCTTTTGAGAGTTTGTATCCTTGGATATTATTGTTCCATTTCATTATCCATTTCATTATTTCAATGAGAAGTTCGTATCTAGTTCAAAACAAAAAAAAATAAATAAATAAATAACTCCCAAGTCCACTGAACTCCATTATTGCTTTCACATCTTGCTAGTCTTCAATCAACGAAGCAACCGTATTTATTTTTAAAGACTTTCAGCCTGAGAATCAATTGTTTATAATAACAAGGGGATCTTATATATAATTTCTACCATATATGTCTTAGGAAGACAACATGACAAGGGGATCTTATGTAAGAATTCATACCGTATATTTTTTAGGAGGATTCTATGGCATGCATTTGGCAATCTGTTAGAGTGGAAAAGCATGCCGTAAAGACTATAACGAAACCATTTTTACGACACAAAATTATAATTTAGAAAAAGTGAAAAAGAACATACATCAAATCAAATTCCATGCAATTCAGTACAAAGTGATATTTGCATGTCATCCCAAAAAACCACGCAGATTAAATGGAAAAGCCGTTAGAAGTACATTGTCCAATGAGCATATAATATTAATATTTTTTTTTAAGAAAGAAAGGTCATCAAGTCTTACAAACATCTCAGGATAGGGATTTTATAAAGGACAATGAAATTACCTGTTTGCTAGTAGGCCTCCTCAGAAAATCAGAGCTCCCAAAAATGCACGATGATACCGCAACCTTGCACATTTTCATGTACGCATTGTCCTTTTCATCTAAATCAAATCCAGTACTTGGGGATTCTGGTGGTCCTTTAATGAAACCACAATGAAGTTTTTGATTTGTTGCATAGAAGGATCTCTCCCTTTCCTTAAGGGTTTGGTGTCCTCCAAATCTGGGCTTATATAAATCAGTTTCAGAAGGTTTTTCCTCACGCTCTATGTACTCTAAAGAGAATTGAGTAACGTTCATGAAGTCCTCAGGTTCCAAAAGATAATCAACTGACTCCGTAAACACGACTTCACAAGGAAAATCTGGAAGATAATTTTTGTTATGAATAACCTAGATAGGTATTAAGGATCTAATAAGACAAAGGGGATACTAAACTTGTATGAGAACACTGTCATAAAGAGATGTTATGATTTAGCAATCAATTGCTTTATCGTATCAATTTTCATTAATATTTGTTATCTATATGAAAAATGGACATATTTTTTTTCCAATATTTCCACTTGCGCTAAATTTTTCTAGTTTTTTGAAACTGCCTCTTTCTTCTAGTCTTTCCCTACTGGACAACTCGATGTAGCCTCTCTTAGCTATAAGTTAAGGAGGACATTCAGTTCTACTTTACCTTCAATAAGGATGCACACATGCAAATGCAAGACACAAGCCAAGTACACTTACGTTGCTTACGACGATGCTTGCTAGTTGATGGTTTCTGGTCCCTCGATACCAAAGTTTCTCCTTGTACTTCTGACACCGAAATGCTACCTCCAATTTTATCTATAAAAAGTGATTATATTCAATTCCAAAATAAACCAAAAGAAGAGGAAGAATACATACCATAGTTAAAAAAATTTATTCAACACCTAATGACAATTATAGTCTGAGCACCTAAACCCTAAACCTAATGACAACCAAAGGAAGCCCTAAATACAGGATAGGCCGATTTTCAATCTTACAATTCCATTTATTAGCAAACATTGCAACTTTTTTGGAGTCAATATTAATACCACATAAAGAAGATTTGTCTTTTTTTGAACAAGAAACGAACTTTTCATTGATTAATGAAAAAGAACATAAAATGTTCAACGATACAAACTCCCGAAGGAGTGAAAAAAGATAACAAAAAATTAAAAAGTACAACCCATGAAATCAGGAAAATAAGATCTAGTCAACATCCTTTACAAAACTATATAGGAAAGATGAAAGCCCCCCAATTAGTATAAATCATATTAGGAGAATAGAGAGCAAAAAGCTTTGATAGAGCACACCATTGAGAAGCTTTAAACTTAGCCAGACTGAAGTACTCCACCGAAGGTCTTCTTTTTTCCTCAAAAATCCTTTGGTTCCTTTACAGAAGATTTGTTTTAATTCACCTTTAATCCAAACAACCATTCAAAATCCTACGGTGTCAAAGAGGATCTCCAACATACCATCATCATCTTTACAAAACAGCAAAGTGTCATCAGCAACTTGTAGATGAGAAACATGAACTGAATTTCTGCCCAAAATACACCCTTTAAAAAATACCCTTTTCATATAAGTTATCCAACAAACTACTTAGAACATCACTGATAAGAGAAAGAGGGTCCCCTTGCCTTAAAACCTCTAGAAGCTTTTATTCTTCCTCTCGGTCTACACCATTGATGAAGAGAAAAACTTCGTTCCTCTGAAGCAGCCATTAATCCATCTAATCTACTTCCTTCCAAACCCTTTCTTGCGAAGAATAGCAACAAGAAAGTCTGAATCCACTCTATCAAAGGCTTTTTCCAAGTCATGCTTTAACAGCCACCCACTTTTCTTTTTAACTTTGTAAAAACTCCCCATGAAGAATGGCTTGGTCTGATGGCAGAAATAATCCAGTGGCTACTCGTATTGACAGATTCCTTCTTTCTAAGGAGTGGGTGGATGATGTTAAGGACTTCCTCATACTACCTCGGACCATTTCCCTCTCATATTGCGATTAGGAAATCAGAAATGGGGTCCCTCCCCTACCCGCTTTGAAAATATGTGGTTGGATCATCCTTCTTTCAAGGATAACATCGAGTCTTGGTGGAAATCTCTCCCCAATTTCGGGAGGCCTGGCTATGTTTATATGAATAAGTTGAAAGAAATCAAGATCCAGCTGAGAAAGTGGAATAAAAGACTTTTGGGGTTGTTGAAATGACCTTAGAGACTGCGAACAAAGAATAGATGGGCTTGACAAACTTGAAGAAGTCGGACTTCTCTATGAGACAGAGAAGGTTGAAAGAGAGGAGCACAGAAAAAATTTCTTTAATTTGTCCATCAGAGAGCAGAGGAAATGGGCCCAAAAATGTAAGCTAAATTGGCTTAAGGAGGGGGACGAAAATTCTAATTTTTTTCATAGATGGTCTTCGGCTAGAAAATCTAAAACCATCATTTCCATGTTAGAAAAAGACAATGGAGAGTTACTTTCTTCAGAAAACGAGATTGTTCAGGAAATTGTTGGGTTCTACAAGCGCTTATATGGGGATACCTTGGGACCTCGTTTTCTGATTGAAGACGTCCAATGGGAAGGCCTTGAGGATCGATGGACAACTTGGCTAGAGAGACCCTTTGATATAGAGGAAATTCAACATGCTGTTTTTAGCCTCGGAAATTTGAAGTCCCCGGGGCTGGATGGTTTCTCAAATGAATTCTTTAAAAAGTCCTGGAACACTATGAAGCAAGATTTATTGGGGGTGTTCCAAGATTTTTACAGAAATGGGGTTTATCAACAGGTGCACAAATGAGACTTATATTTGTTTGATCCAAAGAAGAAGAAGGCTATGAAGGTTGGCGAGTACAGACCGATTAGTTTGGTAACATCTTTGTACAAGATCATCTCAAAAGTGCTTGCGGAAAGACTTAAGAAAGTTTTGCCAATGATAATTCACGATGCACAGTCAGCTTTCATCGAAGGTCGTCAAATAATTGATGCTATCCTTATTGCTTCAGAGCAGTGTTGTTGAGGCGCACCCGGGCGCTCGCCTCAGGCGAGAGCGAGGCAATTTCGCCAGCTGCGCCTTGCAAGGTGCCCAGGCGAGCGCCTTCAATCGGGCGCTCGCCTCGGTGCGCCTCTCGCCTGAGGCCAGGTGATCGCCTCGTTGAAGCGAGGCGATCTGCTTTATTTATTTTAATTTTTAATGTGTTTTTTTTTAAAGAACATTTCTCCCTCGTGAAATACCTTAGTCCACAAACCCTAACCATTCTCTCTGCCTCTCGACATTCACCTTCACCACCCTCAATCTCCGGCCATCGCCTGCTCCTGTCTCCGACCATCACCGTCGCCGCTCCCGTCTCTGACTAAACTTCTTGTTGACATTTACTATGACACTATTTTGGTATTTATTTTTTAAACTATGTTTACTATATAAATATATGCACTATATATATAATTTTTATTTATTTATTAAGGTGCGCCTCGCTTCACTCAGGCGTCGCCTTTGTATCGCCTCTTGCCTCAAGGCGATCAAAGGGTTTGTCGCCTTGAGGTGCACCTTGCGCCTCGAAAACACTGCTTCAGAGGCAGTTGGGGATTGGGAGGTGAGAAACAGGTCAGGCTTCGTTCTAAAGCTAGATTATGAGAAGGCTTATGATAAGGTAGATTGGCTTTATTTGGAAGCAGTCATGGAATAGAAGGGTTTTGGGTCTAGATGGAGAAGATGGATTATGGGTTGTTTAACTTCCACTAATTTTTCTATTCTTATTAACGGTCGGTCCCGTGGAAAAATTCTTGCCAAAAGAGGGTTGAGGCAAGGGGATCCACTCTCCCCCTTCCTTTTCACCATAGTTGGTGATTCTTTCAGTAGAATGGTCCATTTTTGTAGTCAAAGAAGGCTGATCAAAGGCTTTGGCATTGGTAGGGGGGAGGTGGAAGTCTCTCACTTGCAATATGCCGATGATACAATGATATTCTGTCCAAATGAGATAGGCATGTTGGAAAAATGGTGGATGATCTTAGACATTTTCCTACCGGCTTCGGGGCTGTCTTTGAACCTTTCGAAAACTACTATTATAGGAATTCATGTAGAAGGAAATTTTCTTCAAGACAAAGCTAAAATGTTTGGCTGTAGAGTGGAAAGGCTTCCTTTTTCCTATCTGGAAATTCCTTTGGGTGGCAATTATAAGAAAAAAGCTTTTTGGGATCCTCTTATTGATAAAGTAAGGCAAAAGATAGACAAATGGAAGAACTTCTTCATTTCAAAAGGCAGTAGACTCACTCTTGCACAATCGGTGATCACAAGTCTTCCCCTATACTTCTTCTCGGTTTTAAAGGCTCCAACGAAGGTTATAAATGAAATTGAGAAGCTGTCTCGGGATTTCTTCTGGAAAGGGAATGGCAATAATGGCTCTATTATTCACCTAGTGAATTGGGGAAAGACCGCTCTTCCGTTGCAATATGGAGGTCTTGGTATAGGGACTTTACAACAAAAGAACAACAGTTTACTCCTTAAATGGCTTTGGAGATTCACCCAAGAAGACAATGCACTTTGGAGGAAGGTGATAGTTAGCATTTACGGTGAAGATCCTCACGGGTGGAATACCCTTCCTCCTAAAGGATGTGCCAGGGGAAGACCGTGGTTCGATATTTTCAAGAACAGCTCGTTTTTTTCCAAGTTCCTTGAGTTCAAGATGAGGAAAGGGAATCGCATTAAATTCTGGTCGGATAGTTGGATTGGGAATGACTCTCTCCAGAAGATGTTCCCTGACATGTTCAATCTCTCTACAAAAAAGGAAGCTACAGTTATGGAGTGTTGGAATGCTAATGAGAACGATTGGGATCTAGGTCTGCGCAGAGGTCTTTTTGATTGGGAGCTTGAAAACTGGATAAGTCTCATCCAAGTTATCGATGTGGTGAGATTGGGGGAGGGAGAGGATCGGGTTTTGTGGTCTCTTGGAAAAAATGGTAAGTTCTCTATTCGCTCGGCCTATTTGAAGCTGATGGATTGAAGCCCTTCTTTGAGATCACCCCTCATCTCGGCAATATGGAACTTTAAGGTCAAAAAAGATCATAGTCTTTCTTTGGTCTCTTGCTCATAGAAGCCTTAATACTCATGAGAATTTACAGAAAAAGTGCAAGAATTGGGTGTTATCCCCTTCGGTCTGCTCCTTTTGCTTGAATCACAGTGAGAATATAGATCACATATTTCTGCATTGTTCTTTTGCGGAAAAGAACTGGTGTCTCCTCTTAAATACCTTTGAAATTTCTATTTGCTTCCCAAAAATGATAGATGATTGGATGGTTAAAGTGCTACACAGGTGGACTCTTCCTAAGAAGACTGAGTTTATTTGGAAATGTGCTTCGAGGGCTCTCCTCTGGAATCTATGGCTGGAAAGGAATTCTCGCATGTTTGAAGATAAGTCAATTACTTTTGTTTTTTTTCTGTCGGAATGTACAGCACACGACCTCTCGGTGGTGTATCAATTATAGCAAATTCTTTTGTAATTACAACCTTTCCATGTTTATGCACAATTGGAAAGCGGCTGTTTAGCTTGTTGGTGGGATTTCCTCTACCCCAGCCTCTAGTTTGTTCTTTCTTTTTTGATCAATACAGAGATGTTTCTTATCTAAAAAATAAATAAATAAAAATAAAAATAAAAACTTTGTTAAAACTCACAAGCTCGTTTGCAATTAACACCGGATCGAGAATATGTCTTCCCTCTATAGAAGCACTTTGGTTCAGGGAAATAGTGCTGGGAATCACCTTTTTAAGCCGCTCACTCAAAACTTCAGCAACGATCTCGCAAGTGGAGGTGGAAAGACTTATGAGTCTAAAGTCCTTTACCTTTTCCACAACATCCTTCTTAGGATCTAAGCAAATGAAGTTCTCCTTCGTGCAAGCATCCACATGGCCATTTCTAAAGAATTCTGCAAAAAATCTCAATAAATCTACCTTCCAATGTTGCCAAAATTTGATGAAAAACTCAATAGTAAACCCATCTGACCTTGGCGCCTTATTCTTCACGAGGTTTTTTAGAGCAAACCAATCTCAGATTCTTCAAATTTCCTTTCCAATCAGCCACTATCTTAATGATAAATAGGTCTCCAAGAGATGTCCTTTGGAGTGAACGGCTGAATCCCCTCACTGCAGTACAAAGCATCAAAGAAGCTGATGATTTCCTTTTCTATGTCTGTTTGATTTACAAGAGGTATATCATTACCATCCTTAAGCTAAGATATCTAATCTTTCCCTTTTCGAGCGGCCAAGAACTTATGAAAAAATTTTCTATTTTCACCCCCTACTTTTAGACTGTGAATCTTGCATTTTTTAGTCAAGTTTTACTCCTCCCTTACATATAAAGCAAGTAAATCTTGCTTCAGAGAACCTCTCTTCATAACTTCATCCGAGTATAGGCCAGAATCTTCATCCTTATGTCCAACAAGGATATTTCAAAAACCATCTTTCTTCTGCTTCTTTTTGCTGCTTTTCACTCTGAGCACATATCTTGAGGGAGGATTTTAGATTTCGAAGCTTAAAAGATATCACGAACCCTGCCTAGTCATATGATATATCTTCTGAGATTTTTGACTCAATTAGTCGAATACAATCCTTATCCTCTAGCCAAGAACTAAAGAATCTCAAAGGAGTAGATCCCCATATGAAATCCCCTACATCAACGTAGAATTGCCAAAGAGATTGTTCCATTCCTGCGAGATGAAAAATCTGTCCAGAAGAGAATGAGTGCTATCGTTGCCCATCTTTGACCATGTAAATTTGCCATTGGATATTGGAATTTTCAGAAGTTCTAATTCTTCAATTATACTATTAAATCTTCTCATTCCTTTCATTGTTTTGCCATCTGAAGATCTGTCCAAGGTCCATCTAGACACTAATAATTATCTCAAAAACCTCAGATATTCCGTAATTTTGTCCATAGATGCTTCCTAATTTTGTAATCTTTTGGAATAAGAAAATGGCAGAGGAGAGATAAACTTTTTTCACGGCAAAACATCCGGTTTATATTTTGGGCTAAGACCGTCCGAAGAGTCATCATCTGCAGGTATATCCAAAGGACATTTCAAGTTCTCATCCGATGGATGTTCTTCTTTTTTCGGCTTCCCACTTTCTACCCACTTTTTCCATAAATATAGACAATTTGCCCAACAAAGACTCTCCATCTGCCACAACCTGCTAAAGACTTTGGATGTCCAACAAGTTTAAGAACTTGCGATCAACTTCCTCTTGGAATCCAAACTTGGTTTGTTCACAAAATCCTCTATAGCAACCATGCGAACCACAAAACTCCCTAACTTTGTGTTTATTTCAATTGATGCAGGAAAGAAACCACATACATTATCCTCCACCTAAATCAAAGCTTCTGAACAATCAAGGAGATTTAGGGTTTTTGATAAATATTATTTAAGCCGCCAAGATAACTCCAATTGCATTAAAACACTGCTAATTTCAAAATTTGGAAGGTAAGCCACAAATTCTAACTCGTCCTGCATAACCTACCACCACTTCATTCGTACTATGCTTTTCAAAACTCCATTTCGCAGTTTTCACATGTATATTACGTATCTTTCGCCACTTACCATTAACCCACTCTAATCTCAAAACTCTACCATCCCCAAACCTCAATAAGGCCTTATCTACCATAAAAGGACTAACTTGACAATCTTGCAAATTTTTTCCTTCTAGACCATCGGATATTTCCTTCCAATCGTCATGGGCACAAAATTTCATAATGGCCATGACCTTATCCCAATCCAACTCCTAGGCTTCAAATTCCTTTCTAACCTGAAATTGCTTTAAAAGCCCCTTGGGGAAGTTAGGGACTCTATGCCTTCTCAGAAACCCATTGATATTTGAATCCTACATGATGTCTTTTCCTTTGACATGTCAATGAGAAGGCCCTTTAAAGGCCATTCTCCTTTTACCTTCTGAAACCTCAGCATATGATAACTGATCTTTTGATCTTTCATTCAACCTAGAGAGGCAAACCTTCAACATGTCTCAAAAAGCTAACCAACCACTTTTCCCTAGGCCAGCAACGATCACTAATCTTCTTTGAAAATGGCTCCTAGTTATTCAGGTACATGTTCGATAGCTTTTTCAGGTACAACTGATCAACCTTAACTCTCTATGTGAATTATTGATTATAGTGCAACTGGACGTTTGACAAATAGTAGCCATCATTTTATCTTTTATAATCCTTGTCCAAACAATAAGAAAATATCTACAGCAAATGGTACTTTAGTACCAGTGGATGGTCGAGGAGATATCAAAATAAATTCAAACACTACTTTAAAAAAAGTGCTCCATTTATCATGCTGAATTGTTGACTTGATCTCAGTAAAGAATTTGATCAAAGATTTGAGGTGCAGATTCTTTTTGTATTTTTCAGGACCGGCAATGAAAGACAATTGGACTTGATAAAAAAAAATGGACTTTATTACCTTGATGAACCTTCTTATCATTGTAGTGTTGGAGAAGATGCTCAAATCTCCTTCACCTCACAAACTCATTCTTCTTCAAATAAGTTCTGGCTGTACCATTATAGACTAGGGTATCTCTCATTTAAATCTCTTAAAATTTTGTTTTATGATTTGCTCCAAAACTTTAATTTTGAGTCAATTCAGTGTGATTTTTGTGAATTTGTTAAGCACATACGAGTACTCTTTCCTGGTAATAATAAAAGTGTATTTCCTTTCTTTGTTATTCATAGTGATGTTTGGGTCCTCCAATTTGCCAAATGTTTCCAAATTTCACTGGTTTATTGTGTTCGTTGATGAATGTACTCGAGTTTTGTGGGTTTATCTTTTGAGACAAAAATCTGATGTTGATTCTAACATTCAAACCTTCTTTCACATGATAAGAAATAAATCTAACCCAAACAGTTCTGTCCTAACAATGTACGAGATTACATCAATCAAACCTTAACTTCCTTCTTTCAAAAATATGGAGAGTCATCCATGAGTTGTCTTGTGTGGAAACTCAACAAAATGGAGTGGTGGAAAGAAAGATTGGTTGCATTCTTTCCATGACCCGTAACCCTTCTTTTTCAAAGAAATGTTCCTAAATCTTTTCGGGGAAAATTGTACTAACAACAACTTATTCAATCGTTACCCTATGGTACTCTAGATCAGAAAAATCCTATGAATATCCTATCAAATTTCTGTACTGACTTCCGTACATCAAATAACTTGATTCCTCGATGTTCGATTGTATAGCCTTTATTCATGTTCATAGTAACCAACAAGGAAAACTTGATCCACGAGCACTCAAATATATTTCTCTTGGATACTTATACACTCAAAAAGGGTAAAAACCCTATCACCCTCCTTATAAAAAGTATCTCATCTCGTCAATGTTACTTTTTATAAAGGTACCAACTTCTTTACCTCAACTTATCTTCAAGGGGAGGAAATACTGTTGAAATATAAGGATTTACTCATTCCCAACATCACATTTCCTTCATCTCCTTTACCGAACCCTATTGAAATTGACTCTAACCGATCCTCGCCTTTACCACTAGTAGACACCTCATCAGAGTCATCTAACCCTCCTACTACTATAATTGCACCATTGCAGATTTATTCAATAAGGAAAAATGATAAAACTAAGCAAGTTCAAGAGTCCGAACATACTTCTAGAACTAAAATTAACAAGAAAGGAGTCAGTGATGAGTCATATATTATATCATCTGTAATTGATGAGTCATATATGTCTTTGCCTATTGCTTTGAGGAAGGGAAGATGAACTTATACTCAATATTTGTTGTCTCACATTGTATCCTAAGACAAACTCTCAAGTAAAGAAGCTTTGTAGTTAACCTTCATTATGTAAATATTCATGGTTGACCTTACTCATGTAAATATTCCAAAGACATATGCAGAAGCGGTACAACATGAATAATGGAAACAAGCAATGAATCTTGAAATGCAAAGTTTAGAAAAAAAATAAAACATGGGAGCTAGTTACTATGCCTAAAGATAAGAAATTCATATCATCAATGAAATGTTTCTATAAAAAAAACTGTTACCAAACATAGAAATTAAACACCATAATTCAAACTAACGATATGAAATTTGACAAACGTATGAAACTATAAGGGTCCACCCAACTGTTATCAAAAAGGCAAATGCAATTACTTAGTGAAACGTGATAATTATTTGCAAGGAAACTAAGGGTAGTCCTATATAATTGGTGAGTGTAATCCAAGAGAGAGAGGATTATTTCCAATTTCACTCTAGAACTGTATAATCATACTTATACCATGACATAGAAACAGAGAGAAGGGAATGAAACTTTACCATGCAAGTTCACTTTTAAGCCGAAGACTGCCAAATACAACAAGAAGGAAGTTGTAAGCGTTAAGAACAAACAAGAGAATCTTTTTCTTGTAGTTCGACCAAGCCTTCTTCCACGACGAACGGCCCTACTTCCATGCTCCGTTTTGCCAAGGAATTTAAAAAATCCAGGAACAGTACCTCTTCTTTCTGGTAACTGTTCATTATTGTGCCCAAACAGACCCATCATGACATTGCCTCCAGATCTCGGTTCACATCTGGTTTCGAGGAGGGTGGGAGGACGAACATCACGATGTAGAACTTTCCAGAACAAGTTAATTAAACAAATTGTATATCGATGGAACAATAATCGATATTTGTATCTAACACTCAGTCATTGGAAAAAAAGTTTTCTAGTAACACCCTTTTCAGTTTCTGATAAAATACAATTCCTGCATAGCGTAAAATTTAGCAAAATGAGGAAGGAGAAAAGGAGCAGTACCTGGAAAGCAAAATTCAGGGGGCGGAAGAACAAATGCAGAGAACTAGAATGGAGCATGTTTACCTGTGATTGAAAGCATTACTGTATAGATAGATCTCCCACCAAAGTCCGTGAAACCAAATGAAAAATACGATCCGGAGAATTAGATGGTTGGAGATCTGGCGGGCAAAAAATGATGAGAGTAATGTGAAGAAATGCAAAAGAATAGAAACAAACCCCTGATTACTCCATAGATGAGCATCTATGTTGGATCGATCTTCTTGTCGATAAATTATGGCCGGTGGAGTGAGTTGGGGGAGCGAAGTGTGAGAGGGGAAATGCAGTTGGCATTTTGCAGGAAATGGCGCGAGACGCAGCCGCCCCTTCACAACCGGTTCCGTAACATTGATTTTGTTCCCTCGGTTTTTCCTGAACCGGGACCCGAACCGAACCATGGCTGATTCGTCACGGGAGTGGCTGAGGCTCGACGATCTGGAAAAAAAAATGTGAGATTCTTTTAGGGACGGGTGCAAATACATCAAAACATGTAGTTACCACGTTTAGTTTTTTCAAATATAACACTTTAAAAAAAATGGAGGTCTAATTTTAAAATGATAACTGTCTAAATGATATACATCTGTAATATATCTGACTACTGATGTATGTATGTGATATATAATTGATATACTACTAATATGAGTGTGTGATATACTTGTAACATGTATGTTGATAAATTTTGTTGAGGGGGGCTTTATACTAATTTGCAAATAAGTCATTCGTAAATATGTTATACAAACTTGGTATTGAATATTACAATTGTAACCAGCAATTCTAGTTTTTAGACTAGATTTTGCAGATAATTTTTCTAAATTTACTTAGGTAATTTTTTCAAGACGATGAGTTTATCGATATTTTTTTCTTCACTATTTAGATTTCAAATTTAATCTACAAGAATATTAATAAAAATAAAATAAAAAGTTAAACATATAAAATATGAATGATAATAATTCAATTGTATACACGACAATTTTATATTATAGTCTAAATTTTTAAAAGTAGTTAAAACATGACAATTTTATATTTTAGTTCAAACTTTTACTAACTATTACATTTAAAATAACGTCAAATAGTAAAATTCATAATATATAATTTTACATCTTAGATTTTAACTTTAATTTTAAGATGTAAAGTTAATAAAAATTTACTATCGACAATGAATCTCCAAATTTTGACTTCATTAGATTATGAAAAATTGAAATTATAAACTAAACAAAATAAGAACAATTGAATATGAAAATTATGATTTTAAAGAAGAAAAAAAATCAATACAATAATTTAATTTTAAAAAATACCTAACGATAATGTATAAATTGAAAATAAAAATGAGTCTTACCAACCTATATATTATCTTCTTTTGCAATTTTTTAAAAAATCTACATAATTGATTCTAAAATTAAAAAAAATGGATATATTTGTATAAAAAATTTACAATTTTTTTTTTAAAATTGACTTAATCTATAATCTATTTTTCTTTTTAAAAGTAAAATTGACAAAAAAGAATTTCCTTTTGTAAAACTTACCAGAAAAAATTGAATTGAAAAGAAGGGAAAAATCATGAATTACGAAAAAAGAAAAAAAAGACGAAATACATTTGCGAAAATCGTAAAAAAAAATAATGATAATAATAAAAAGTGCCAAATCAAACGCAGACACGAAATGAAGTGAGGGGGGCTAGTGCCTGTAATTGCCGCTGTGTCAAAGGTAGATATTGAAATTTAATTTGAATTTTTACATACATATTATTATTTTACAAAGTTCAAGAGGGCTCGAGCCCCCTGGACCCTACGTATATCCGCCCCAGGATATGAGTTCTGATATACTATTAATACAAGTATTTGATATACTAGTTTTATTAGTGAAAATTTTTGCTAGATTTGAAAATTTAAAAAACAAGTACCATATTTTTAAATACATAAAAAAAAATTTTGCTACCCATTATAATTTCCATTTTTTAATGCATTTAGTTCTATTTTATGTTTTTAACATATTGTAAAAGGAATAGTTAACAATTTAAATATAATTATTTCAAAACTATTTTTAAAAATATTGTAGTTTTATTCTCACACTACAATGAAAAGTTTACCTTAGGTTGAAAGTTGTCTCTTGCAACCTTTCTAAATGATTGAAATATCTTTGGATTTTTGGGTTATATAGCCCTTTTACCAAGGTAATATTGATTTTTGTCCACTTTTTTCAAAACTTATGTTTTCTAATTTTTACTGACATCACTTTGGATACCAATTTACTTTCATTACCCCTCCACTATTTTTTTTTTAGATTTCGCTCTCTTATTCCCTCCCTATTTTTCCAGAATTTTTTTCACTCTCTCTATTTCCCTCTCCTTCTTTATCCAAATTTTTTTTTCTCTCTCATTTTCCATTAAGTACTCATTCTTTCTCTTCCTTATTTTCTTCTCTTTTTCTCTTTTCTGCAACACTATGGGTATTTTTCTCTCATTCTTCCATTTTGTTTTGGGTTTCTCCCTTCCTTCTTCTCTCTCTCTCTTTTTTTTTGTGACTAGCAAGAGGGAATAGAAGAGGAAAGAGGGAAGGGGGGAGGGAGGAGAGAGATAGAGGAGAGAGAGCGAGAGGAAGAGAGGAGAGAGAGCGAGAGGAAGAGGAGGGGGAGCGAGAGGAAGAGGAGAGAGGAGAGATGAATTAATTTTTATTATTATTATTTTGTCTTTCCAACTTCCTTTCGATTTTTTCAACCATTAAAATTAATTTTCCTTTCTCTTCCTCACATCCTCTTTCTCTCTCTCTAAAAATAGGGTTTCCTCTCTCTTTCCCACACCCCTTCACTCCACGCCTATTTATCTCTCTTCCTCACACCCTCTCACTCCACACCTAATCTTGCTCTCTTTTCTTCACACCCTGTGCTATCTCTTCCTCACACCCCCTCTAAAAAATCTAGCGGCTGTTTCTCTTCCTCTTCCTCACACCTCTCTTTCTAAGCCTGTGATACATATATGGGAGGTCATAAGCGAGATCGTGACTAAGATCGAGAGCGAGAGCGAGATTTTGAGCAAGATCGAGAGTAGAGATTTTGAGCAAGATCGAGAGCAAGAGCGAGATTTTGAGCGAGAGGAAAATGGCGAAGCCGCCGACGGCCAATAAAAGGAAAACGAAGCTGCTTATAATCGAATCTCACTCTCGACGGCCGGATCTCGCTCTCAGACGGTCTTATTTTTAGAGAGAGAGAAAGTATGTCTATGAAATTAATTGGGTTTTTGTTCCATTCTAAATCTTATTTTTAGAGGGAGAAAGTGTGTCTATGAAATTAATTGGGTTTTTGTTCCATTCTAAATCATATTTTTAGAGAGAGAGAAAGTGTGTCTATGAAATTCATTGGGTTTTTGAGAAAAATTTGAACGAGAATGGGAGAGAAGAAAAGAAAAATGAGGAGAGAGGAATAACGATGACTTTTTTGAACATATGAAAAAAGAGAGAAGAGAGAACAAGAGAGAAATTTAAAAATGAGTGGGGGATAGTGAAAGTAATTTGGTATCAAAGATGATGTCAGCAAATATTAGAAAACATAGGTTTTGAAAAAAGTAGGTAAAAAACAATATTGTCTTGGTAAAATGGCTATTGAGCCCAAAAACCCTAAAAACCCAATATCTTCTCTTCAAGATACGACACGAGACAAGGTCGCCTCTTAATGTAAAAAGAGATGACCTTCTTTTTTATTATTATTTTTCTATTTTTTTTTTGTTTTGCAAATATATAATTTCATAAAGGCTATTTCGACCGTGGGTAAAATTAGGAACTTTAAAAAAATTAATTAATTATTTGAATCTAATTAGTTAGAAACTATTTTTAAAATACTGTAATATTTATTCAACAATAAATTGGAATTTATTTTTAAAAAGTAGGATTTATCTATTTTGAACAATAAATTATAATTAATTTTTAACTTGTCATAAATCACATTTTTTTAATTCATTTTGAGAGGTTTGTGTTTAATATTGTAAAAAACCTAATAAATTTGATCATGTTGAAAATAAATATTTAACATGTATATAGATAAAATAAAATTTATAGTCTTAATTATATAGAATTTATCTCATGTGTTCAACAAAACAATTACAAGGTGGTTGTCAACGACGAACTCTTAATGCCTCACTAAGGTGGAAGTATTTTTCATGTTCTCCACGACCACATCCATGAACATGCCTTAAATATATTATTGAGGGACTGACCTCATAATTATAACGTAATGGTTGAATTGAGGGTCAATATCATGTCCATCAGTGTGGAAGGACAGACATAATCCCACGTAAAATGGTACATATCTTTGACGTTATAATGGACCTCTTTATGTCCAAGAGTATTACGCTCGATTGGAATGTCCTACTCTAATTTAGGACGCCCTTCTACGACTGAAACCAGAAGAACGTGCAACGCGAATATTATACATTGATGAAGTATTTCTATATTTGTCTTACCAATGTTGCGTTTTGATGGAGTATTTCTATATTTGTCCTACCAGCATTGCGTAACGTATTGAAACACTCTAGCTTCACCCTTTTCTATCTCGAGTAAGGAGAGTACAATACTCGCTAGAATTCTCTCTATTTTCCAATTTCTCTTCAGCTACCTGAATTATAGTTATCCTATACCTTCACCCTGTGTTCTTTGAACTTGTGTATAAAGAGGAAGTAGCAGTTTTATCATTTGTTATGGGATTGAAAATTCTCTGCCACGTGTCACATACTTTAGATCTGACCTCCAGATAAATCCGAACACAATATCGAAACATGGTTACCTTGGGAGCACGAGTTCAAAGATATCCGCTAAATGGTATTCTAACCACCCACTCAGCACACTCTGCTTTATGCTGCCCGATTTCCAAAGAGGGTATCCTTGGCAGTTAGCAAATAGTAGTTGGTAGTCTATAAATACCCAAGGTCAATTGATTCATAGGTACGCTCGAATCTCGATTTGAATTTGAGAATAAATTAGTTTGAACCTCTACTAACTTGAGTGTAGGAATGTTCATACTTCTTTTGCAAGTTAATTCTAATTGGGATTAGTGAGACATTTGAGTGAAATTTTGTGCTCTGATGCTCTGATTTACGAGTAATTTCCTTCACTTAGCACTTTCTCAAACGTCAAAGTGCACTTGCGAGGAATTTCCTTCACTTTTCACCATAGCATCATTTCATCTTTACTAAAGTGTAATGTTAATATATCAATGTTCACAAGCTTTGATTTGCAAAGACCAAAGTGATAGTTAAAATTTACCTTCACTTTGCTCGACCGCTAAAAGGGCTAGCCTGCACCCCTCAAGTTCCATGAGGTTAGAAGTA